AGTTTTATTAGTTTTTTTCATGCATATTTGTTTTGTCTTTGAATAGGCTTTATACAATAATCTTTAGCATATCATACACATACAAATATAATCATAGCATGTACATACAATTAGTCTCATCAAATCATGTCATCATCATAATCATCATTCAACACAAAGTGGTCTCTGGTCATCAATCTCGAGAATAGCGATACAAGTCTCGATTACTTGCAAATACATCGTCATCCATCTAAACAATGATATACGCGAGAAGAGCTATCACTTTGAGTACATGAGTTTGTATCCCTCTCTCGCATTAGCGTGAACCTAAACTAACTACTGCCTGTCGCTCGGAAACCGGAAACCGGTACACCTGGGCCTGACACTCCGACCACATGTCGTATATATACTCCTGGCGTAGCACTTCTTCACCATCTATGATCTATGCACCTGCATCGTCATATGAGTCGATGATATGCAACATATATAGTTGAGCAACAAAAAGAGACAGACTTGGCAAAAATAGAGACAACATATCATAAGCATAAATAACAAAGTTCATCGTACCCAAAATGCCCTAACTAGAGTGATTTTCACTAGTCGAGGAGGAGGACGGTTTAATTACATCACAAATAAAGTTTCACCGTGCATAACTCAAAGTTTTGTCATACAGAAAGTATGGACTAAACGGACACATTGTCATATCGACAATCACTCCAACATGTCGTGCCATCCATCAATGTCAGGGATATAGTCCCCGAGCCTAGTGAAAGGCTTCAGGTCGAGACGTTGAGCGGCTACCCATGTTCGGACGTCTTCCCGCGACATTTGTCCTTCTTCGTAGAACATCCCTGTTTTCCGACGACCTCCTTCATGATGATTCGGGCAAGTTTGTGCTGGATGTTATAGAACTCAGCTCAAAGTCGATGATCCTCGATATCTCCTATATCCTTTGCCCATTGCAGAATATGGGCATCGCCAGATCTAGGTGACATGTGAAGGTTCTGGTGATCCCGTCTGTACTCCAGCATGTGGTGTAGGACATAGAATCCATCATTAAGAGAATCGTTCGGTTGCTGGATGCAGCAGAAGTCGGTCTTATGGCTTGTTGCAAGTCATTCAGATGGTTGTAATAGAGGACAGATCGGGGTCTATTACCATGGAGACATCTCGAAACAACAAGGCGCTGATGGAGATTTACCAAGAGCGGACCTTGCGGTCACAGCGGCCTGGTGTAAATGGTGGCAACGACGCCAAATAGTGAAGGGAGTTCAAGTCTAGACGGCTGAGAAAACTGCTCTATCTGTCAGGGTTTTGGTGACGAATTACCTAAGAACAATCATACCCAAAGGTCCAACTAGGAAGAGTGATCATATGTGAAAAAAAAAACAAGTCATGGGATGGTGAAGAAAAACGTTGGTGCATCGGTTCATTATGAAACACACTCAGATGCTTCTGGCGCTGTGGGTCGTGACGACTGGGGTGATTTTATAGCCGCAACAAGTTGGTTTGTGCCCAATATCCTTGATGTGGATTTAGCAGAGCTAATTGCAATAAGGAACAAACTGTACTTGGCGGGCCATATCAGCTGTACTAAGGTGGAAATCGAGTCTGATTGTTCCTTTGCCGTTGATACTATCAACCGGATTGAGGACTACTTAGGTCCTGAGGTAGCAACCATCATGGAATGCGAAGTACTGATTGTGGACTTTGCAAAGATACCCTTCAAACACTGTTTCAGATAGGCAAATCAGGTGGCAGATGAAATAGCAAAGAACTCTTTTTGCAATAGATTTTCAGGTTCATGGGATGATGAGATCCCTCATTTTATTTCTCATTTGCTTGTAAATGACATGCCCATTATTTGAGGAGTAAAATCTTTTTGATGTCAAAGGAAAATACCCCCTCCGTTATCTAATATAAGACCTTTTAGCTATTTCAAAAAAAATATTTTGAGCTATTTCAAAATATTGACTATATACATACTAAAATGAGTTAACATACATACTAAAATGTGTCTAGATACGGACGAATTAAGAAAAAGTTAAAAGGTCTTATATTAGGGACGGAGGGAGTAGTTTGGATCTAGCAGTCAAATGCTTCTCAGGTTTGTGGTTCGGAAGGTTAAGTTGTCTGCATTAATATTTTGAGCATGGTCAAGCTATAATTTGCCATGTTTGTCTGCAAGACTTCTGAAGCATCTTGCTTATTACACCCTCTGTTTCTGAATGTTAGAGTTTCTGTCAGTTTAATATAAATTTACAAAACGTCTTATATTTAGGAAGGGAGGGAGTACCTTTCAACTATATATTCCTGGTCCAATTTAGCGCCACCATCATTTCTTGGTTTCAGAACGTAGAAGATGGAAATATGCAAACTCTTAAGCTTCCCCCGCAGGGCGGTGAAAGATGATAATATACCATCAGTCAGGCATGATTCATTCAAAGATTCAGTTTTCTGCAGCTTGATAGGTCTATGATTGGTGTGATCTACATAACATAAGATGAGGGGCTGAAATTGAGTACCCTGTTGGTTTCAGTGAGCAAAGAGCGGGGGGATTTTCGGATGATGGAAGAGAGAAGTTCATAGAGATGACAAATGTTCGGAACCAAAAGCAGGTGGCAAGCATTCACAAGATCAATTGCAGACGGCTACTCCTTAATTTGTGGCTGCAGCCTTCTTCTTGGGGGACTTGGTAGCGGCGGCCGTCTTCTTGGGGGACTTGGTAGCGGCGGCCGTCTTCTTGGGGAACTTCTCTGCGGCGCCGGCGGCCTTCTTCTTGGGGAGCAGCGCGGAGTTGATGTAGGGCACCACGCCGCCGTGGGCGATGGTGACGCCGGCGAGCAGCCGGCTGAGCTCCGGGTCGCCCTGGACAGCGATCATCAGGTGGCGCAGGATGATGCGGGCCTTCTTGCTTTCCTTGGCCGCGTCGCCGGCGAGCTCCAGGACCTGCGATTCAACCATGAACGAAATCGGCCATCTGCCCAACACAAGAGGAACAGGACCGGGCAAAATGGCAGATATGCTCGAGGAGGAGGCAGATCAGTTCAGATGTCGAACAAAATCGGCAGTTACCTCGGCGGCGAGGTACTCCAGGACGGCAGCGAGGTAGACGGGGGCGCCGGAGCCGACGCGCTGCGCGTAGCGGCCCTTCTTGAGGTAGCGCCCGATGCGGCCGACGGGGAACTGGAGCCCAGCCTTGACGGAGCGGGTCACTGCCTTCTTCCTCGCGACGCCCTTCCTGGCAGCCATCTCGCTGCTGCTTCTCCGGCGAATGAGGAACTCTACTCGAGGTGCGGGGAGCGGGGGTGCTGGATCGGGATGCTGTGCGCTGCTCTGCTCTGAGTCTGTGGGCTGGGACGGCCCCGGGGGCGCGGGTTTTATCAGGCGGCGGAGCTTCGCGCGAGGGGGGTCGATCCGTGGGAGCACCGGATGAACCAATCAGAGCCCACCGATTTTGCGTCATGGATGACGCACTTGGTCAACTTTGCTTGGTTTCAAAGTCTTCTTTAGAGATTTTAATATGAACCAAATATAGATGTATATAGACGTGCTTTAGAGTGCATATATTCATTCATATTTCTTAGTATATAGTCTATGTTAGAATTCGTAAAAAGATTTATATTTAGAAATGGAGAAAGTATGTCCATGTGGGGAGGCCGCTTGGAATTGAATTGGACCAAAACCAAACCGGCCTCTCTCTACTAAAATGAGTTTGAATTCTATTTTTTGCTGTTTGGCAGCAGATACCAGTTGGAATTAAGGGTGTGTTCGGATGTTCTCTAACTTCTAACCCCATCAACTTCACAGATGAAATTGACATGAAACCTAGAGCTGAGAGCAAAAACCTAGAGCGAGCTTGGCCCAGCTAAATTCACGAAGTTGAGCCCGAGAAGCTAAATTCTCGAAGTTAAATTTTTGCTGGGCTCCGAGAAGCTAAATTCTCGAAGTTGAGCCCGAGAGCAGAGCAAAAACCTAGAGCGAGCTCGGCCCAGCTCCACCGATTGAAAAATGTAGAGTTTGCCTAAGTTACAACAACTTTCCACTGCTAAACATACCGATTCGTTGCTCTCTTCGAAAAGAAAAACCTTTCCCTCATTGCATGAGCAATCCCCTCGAATCGGTACACTCCTCTCTCCTCTCGAATCAGTACCATTCCTCTGTTCTCCCGAGTGCCAACCCTAGCCACCGCAGCGGGCTTCGTCGCCACGCATGCCACCAGTTTATCGCCGGCGGCCACTCCTACCCGACTGCAGATCCAGCTTATCCAGTCCCATCCCCGCAAAATCACGTCGACACAACCCCCAAGACAAGGACCGACCTCACAAAAAACTACACACCCAATTTTTCGAACCCCTACACATAACGTGCACTTTATAAGCATACACACATTATGCACGTCATGTATTGGAAACAACATGTATCACGACACAACCTTTATGACTCAAAACATATCAATCACAATAAGAGTCGCGCAAGAGGCGGCCCCTTGCGATGTCCACATCGGCAGCAGGTTTACTGTTTGTTTTGGCCAATGAGAACGCAACTTTGTGTCCACATCAGCGCTCGTTTTGGCAAATGGAAGCGCCGGTTCGTGTGGGTCCATCGCATCACTCTTGCCGCCTCCTCGTCCGTCTCGGTCGCCTCGACCCTCAAGCCCCCCACCCCTTTTCCTTTTCTCCCCAAGACTTCGCAACACACACAACCTCTCCTTTCTCTTCTTTCCACGATCTGGTCCCATTCTTGGCAGGAGGCAGAGAAGCTGCCAGCCGCCGGGAAGGTGGGGAGGAGGATATATATTAAAATAAAACTAAACCAAAAACTAAACAAAGAGGAGAGGGAGGTGCTTACGGTGGCAAGATGGGACCGAGCGAGAGAGAGATGCGACGGCGAGAAATCCTACATAGTCCACTGATTGAAAAATTATATCATCGCAACAACAATTTTATATTCTATTACTATTTTTTACTTAAATTTTTCTATTTTATTACCATTCATAAAAAAATGTATTAGCAACATGATTGAAAATACCTACATTTACTAAAAAGATATATTACTAGTTTTTTTACTAAAAAATTATATTACCAAAAATACCATAGCTCTAACCGTAACATCCATCCATCTATATATATATATATATATATATATATATATATATATATATATATATATCCATCTATATATCCAAGTATTACTACAAAACTAGTTCTAATTCATCCATTTATGCAATGCAGGAGGGAGAGAGGGTCATAGGGAGAGGGTCGGAGGGAGGGAGGGAGGGAGGAGGGAGACATACCGGGGGGCGGCGACGGCAATGCGGGCGACGACAGCAATGAGGGATGGAGAGGACGAAGAGAGTCACTACTAGGAAAAATCTTATACACAGAAGCTTATCAGTAGAGCTTGTTAAAAGGAGGAGCTACTACTAATTAGTAGGAGCGCCTAGTCACAAAGGGCGCTACTGCTATCCACACAACAGTAGCGCGGCAGGAATAAAACATGCTACTACTATAATTTCGCCACCATTGTCGACAGGTTAGGTATAGTAGTAGCACCCTTCTGCTAACCGCGCTACTGCTACGCCTATAGTAGTAGCGCTAATCTCTAACCCGCACTGCTACTAACCCAAGCTTATCGTCTTCATCCGCGCGGCCGACCCTCACTCTCACTCTCCGCTCTTCTCCCTCTCCCTCTCCACTCTCTCCCTGTTGCCATTGGCACGCCACGCCATTGTCACCCGCTGCCACCGGAGATCGAGGTATCTCCTCCCTCCCTCTCCCTGCCTTGTACATCCTCCTCCCCCCTCTCCCTCCCTCCGATCCCTCCCTCCTGCCTCCTCTCTTCCCGCCTCGTTCGTCCTCCTCCTCCCTCAACATCCCTCCCTCGTGCCTCCTCCCTCCCGGTCACCTCCCTCCCTGCCTCGTCCTCCTCCTCTCCCTCCACCTAGCTCCCTTCCTTGCTCATGTCTCCCTGTTCCTCCCTTCACCTCCATCTGCTTTTGAATTTGTAGCAAAAAAAAATAGCAACAGAAATGAGTTAACTTAATACTTTATACTTTCTACTTTATTTAATTAGTTAAAGAATTAGTTGGTAGAAACATGTATTAGACACTTAGTTGGTAGAGATTATAACTAGTAATAGAATAGAAAATAAATTATAGTAATAGAAATTTTTATGTGTAGAAAATTTTCAATATAGAAATGTATTGAAATGCTATATGAGAAATTTTTTGGTATCACATTTAGTAATTGAAGTCTGTTGTAAGAAAATTTACGTATAGCAATTATAGTAATAGAAATTTTTAGTAAGTGTTGAATAAAGTAGAACTAGGGTATTTAGTTATGTCAATCTCACATTGGCAAATTTAGAGAGAGAGAGAGGGAGAGAGACCTAGTTTCTATATTGAACCATTGGGAATGAGCGCCAAGTTGGAATGTTCATGTGTGGCGCATGGTATATCAACGACGAGTCGGTCGACGTCGCCCACAAGATCACCGAGGACACCCGCATCCTCGACGACAGCCATCATCTATAGTGAGTAAACATGTATATCCAGTGTTGTGTACTAGCTAGTGTTGCTAAAATATGATGTAGATATAAACATGTATATCTAGTGTTGCTAAAATAGGATATGTGCTTTCCTAAGTGGCCTATGTTTGCAGGGAACACTTCCGAGTGGCCTATGTTTTGCCGGAGTGTTGATTAGTTTCTGTTTCGGCAATTTTCAGGCACCCGATATGTCCTTTTTAGCAAAGGTCATGCTGAATTTTTCCATGAATTTTAGCATGGCTTCTGCTAGAATGTAGGAAATATCGAGTGCCTTGGATTTGCCGGAAAGAGATTAAACGGCATTTTGGATTGACTTTAAGTCTGTTGGGGCTCCATACATGACAGTCAAAAAACTATGAGGGAGTGTCGAGCATATATGAGAAAGAAGAATGTCGACTGTTGTTGTGGGGGTCGTTCTTCCTCTTCTTTCTCGTGATAGACCTTTTGGTAATGCACGGGAAGGAAGAGAAGAATGACTATCATCGACGGTCGCAAATGTTAGAGATGAAGAATCCCGACCGTTGTCGTGGGGGTCGCTTCTTGATACGTCTCCAACGTATCTATAATTTTAGATTGTTCCATGCTATTATATTACCCGTTTTGGATGTTTATGGGCTTTGCTTTACACTTTTATATCATTTTTGGGACTAACCTACTAACCGGAGGCCCATTCCGAATTGCTGTTATTTTGCCTATTTTAGTATTTCAAAGAAAAGGAATATCAAACGGAGTCCAAACGGGATGATACCTTCGGGAGCGACCTTTTTGGAATAAATGCAAACCTTGAGACTTGGAGTGGACGTCAAGAAACAACCGAGACGGCCAAGAGGGTGCCCGGTGCGTCCCCCACCCTCGTGGGCCCCTCGAGTATCGACCGACCTACTTATTCCTCCTATATATACTCCCGTACCCTGAAACTATAAGGGCGACCAGGAAAACCTAATTCCACCGCCGCAACCTTCTGTATCCGCGAGATCCCATCTTGGAGCCTTCGCTGACGCTCCACCAGAGGGGGAATCTACCATGGAGGGCCTCTACATCATCTCCAAGGCCTCTCCTATGAGTTGTGAGTAGTTTACCACATACCTTCGGGTCCATAGTTATTAGCTAGATGGCGTCTTCTCTCTCTTTGAATCTCATTACAAAGTTCTCCTCAATCTTCTTGGAGATCTATTTGATGTAACTCTTTTAGCGGTGTGTTTGTCGAGATCCGATGAATTGTGGGTTTATGATCAAGTTTATCTATGAGAAATATTTGAATCTCCTCTAAATTCTTTGATGTGTGATTAAGTTATCTTTGCAAGTCTCTTCGAATTATCAGTTTGGTTTGGCCTACTAGATTGATCTTTCTTGCAATGTGAGAACTGCTTAGCTTTGGGTTCAATGTTGTGGTGTCCTTTCCCAGTGACAACAGGGGCAGCAAGGCACGTATTGTATTGTTGCCATCGAGGATAAAAAGATGGGGTTTATATCATATTGCATGAGTTTATCCCTCTACATCATGTCATCTTTCTAAATGTGTTACTCTATTCTTCATGAACTTAATACTCTAGATGCAGGCAGGAGTTGGTGAATGTGGAGTAATAGTAGTAGATGCAGAATCGTTTCGATCTACTTATCACGGACGTGATGCCTATATACATGATCATGCCTAGATAATCTCATAACTATGCGCTTTTCTATCAATTGCTTGACAGTAATTT